AGAGGAATCGAGAAGAATTCGATTCGATTAAACGAGCAAATAAAAATCTCTTCAATATCTAATAATATGATATATCCCGATTTTAATTCGTCGAAATCACGAGTCGAAAAGAAGCGATGTGTAATCGATAGATCTGGAAATGGCGAGAAATGGTTCAAGAGAAGAAGGATCGATCGAAAACACTGAGATCTGTTCTGAATCGCGAGAATCGTCGTTGGAAAAGGACGAGCGAATATTTGGAAGGAGGAAATGTATCGTAGATGGTTTTCCTTTGGGGAGGAGAAGGAACGGGTCCCGAAATTGGTCCCGATATTAATTAAACGGCGGCCAAACGAAAACGGTGATTGGGGAGAGAGGCATGAAACGAAGCGAGGAAATTAAACGGGGCCCTCTGTTCCGCGCACCGGGCCCTCGCACACAGGGGTCGTATATACCCAGAAGAGAGAGAGAGAGGTTGGCCACTTTCTGCCAATGATGCCCGGCCGAGGACTGTGCTCCTCTTCGTGGCAACAATTATTATTATATCATCCGAGTGTCAAGAGGGTCAAGCGTGCCGCGACTACGTATAAGCATAATATTCGAAGCTTGTAGAGAGAACGCCCCTCGTACGCCTCGATACGTAATTATCCGGCCGACTGCCTCCGCCAGATATTTATGAGATCGAGAGCGAGATCGATCGAAATCGATTCTCTGGGTACCAACAGGTCCAGCTCTCTTTTCGATCTTTCTTTCATTCTTTGGATTATTTCGCGAGAGAGATTTCTCTCCTCTTCGGGGAAAGAATTATTTTTAGGAAACTGACGATGCACGGACCTCGTTTCCTGTGAGAACGTTTCAGAAGAAATGATTTTAAAATCGGAAGTTATTTGAGAAGAGAGATAATCGAGAAGAGAAAGAAATTATTAGACGAACGAACCGTTTGAAGTTTTGGGAAAGTAAGAGATAATAAGAAATTTTGATCAAGACTGGAATTAAAATAGATTTTCCTAAAACTCTGTCTATCGTTTTAGGATCTTCCCGAAGAAACTATAATATAATACATCTGGTAATAATGAACAATAATATTTTCATTGAAATCGTGAAGAAAAAAAATCTAGTAATCCTAAAGAGAAACTCCTAATTGTAAACGGATGATTCGAAGTGAAAATTGACGTCAAGGGATAATCCTTCTTTCCTAAAACTGGGATGGGTAAAGAAGGAAGTTGGCCAAACTTGCTCCAACTCGACAACTCTCGCGCAATTTCACCTAGCCTCTCTCTCTCTCTCTCTCTGTCTCTCTCTGTATACACAGATTGGCAACACGATACCGGTAAAGTAATCCCGTGGAGGAGTAATCGCTGCGTTCCTGACGTATCGATCAACCACCGGATATCCACGGCACGTCTTGCGAGGTACTCGCACATGCAAGCCACCGAGAGAGAAAAAGGGATACACCGGCTCGTGACGTTAGAGACGTTGCGTGCCTTCCCCCGGTGCCTTTACGCCGAGCTTCGATATTAGGTCGACACTTGGATATTAGTTCATTCGGTAGTTGCGTGCCACCGGTAACCAATCGCCAACTTCGCTGTCATTTTATCGAGCCACGTCATTGGGGACGTGATCTCGCTCTCTCGATTTGACATTTCTTTTTTTTTATCCGATGATGGAGTGGAGGAAAGTGCGAGTGCGATCGGGATCTTTGGAACGTGAACAGTAAAACTCTCTCTCTTTCTCACTCAGAATTCGAAATTTATTTCTCGCGAATGTGGACTGGGTGTTGCGAGTGTAACTCTCGATTCGCGGCGTTTATAGGATGACCTGTTTTTAGAAAAAAGAAGAGGGAACGAAAGTTATTATCTTATCGATTTTGTTCAAGATGCCGAGTTCCAGATCGAGAGGAGATCGGACATTAATAATTGAGATATTAGATTCTGTTGTTTCATCTGTTACTTCATTCTGAAAATCGAGAAGCAAGGATCTGTTCTCGTGCAACGAATTCATCGCAGGATGCGATGATGATCGAGGCGGCGGCATCGAGGATTCACGCGCATGATGCATGGAATGGAGAGGGGGAAAGATTGGCTTTAACAGGCAGTTGATAAGAGGAAGGACAAGGGAGTTTTGGATCGCATGTCCTCTCTGGTGGATGGATTTACGAGGGTAGAGCGAGCTTGTGCCAGCGGACATCGAGGCTCATTCAGTAGCGATGAACGCACGGATAATGGCGTGCCGGCAGGGATGTCGGTTAGGTCAGGTTTTTAACGGTCACGTGATCACGTCATCGTGCGTGCTCGTCCGGACAGAATGGACCACGCGAAGCCACCG